TACTCTACTCTACTCTACTCTACTCTACTCTACTCTACTCTACTCTACTCTATTCTCCCTTTTAGAGGACAAATTTTGAGAATGCAGACCCTGAACTTGGCTGTCTGGTGCTCCTTACTACAGAAGAGTTAAGACAATTGAAAATTATTACTTAATCATGTAGACCACAGAGCCACAGGACTTTCCAAGACCTGTCTCGTGGACATGGGAATTCAGAAGATGCTCCTGGGTTCAAGTCTGTGAGTCCCAAAAAGCAGTTACAGGTAGTCCTCGACTTACAACCACAATTGAGTCCAAAATTTATCTTGCTAAGCAAAACATTTGTTAAGTGAGTTTTGACCCATTTTGTAATCTTTCTTGTCATAGTTGCTAAGTGAATCACTGCAGTTGTTAAAGTTAGTAACACGGTTATTAACTGAGTCTGGCTTCCGCATTGACTTTACTTGTCAGAAGGTCACAAAAAGATCATCACATGAACCTGGGACACTGGAACTGTCACAAATATGAGGCCAAGGGTGGCCAAGGGTGTTGAGGTATTAAGATTTAAGAGCTGACCAGCAACAGTAACAGCTGCCAGTAAGTATGGCTGATGCAATATGAGTGAATCAGCCTAGCATGGGTATGTCCCTTTAAGTGTCATGCCCCTGTTGGAGACTGATTCTGAGGGAAAGGAGGAACAGCTGACAGGGAGTGGAAGTGTGGTTCCGGAGGTTGGGGAGGAGGCTAGGGAAGGGCAGAGGCTGGCTGGCAGTCAGAGGAAGACCCAGGCTCATCCCCCCTCCATCCTAGGGCACGCAGGAAGGAGAGGATAAGGGAGAGACATGAATGGTGTGGTCTACGGGGGAGGAAAGGGCCTTGATCCTCTTCATGGGCTGCAGCTGTGAGAACTGGTTAAAAGGACGAACATGCATATGGGCCAGTGCTGGAAACAAAGCATGGAAATATCTCTAATCTGTCGTTCCTCTCTGAGTTTGGCATCCTTCCCAATGTGTGTTCCGATATCTGTGACCCTCAAGCCCTTACCTTGCCTGGTTCCTTTAATTGCTTCAGTGTGGTTTGTGTTGTTTTCACTCCTTATAATTTAAACTATATTTATAGTTTAAACGACATTTCCTCCTTTCTGTGGGAGAGTTTTTTGTCCCCAGGATATTTAGAACTTTGAAGCAAAGTGCAAGGAATAAAAGGAGCATCACCTGTTTTCGTGACTGTGTTTATTTTGTATCCCACCCTGGTCATCACATTAAGGCTGGGGATGGGTTCTACCCTTTTAAGAGGTGTTTATAAATTGTAGCCATTAGAGGGCGTAGTTTCTCTCTCCTTGTGTCCGGTATTTATTGCAGAGATCTCCATGTAGAAGAAAGATTACTTGTAAAAGTATTTTGCTACCACATATATGTTTGTGTATAACTGTCTTGTAGACAAACCATTGTTTAATGTCTAAGTCTCTGTGTGCTGCTGTTTTGCTCCTGGGTTGTTTCATAATAATAGTCATGCTGCAAACGCTCTGACAAAGGGTCTGAATTTTGATCATGTGATCATGGGGGTGCTGCAAGGGTTATAAGCGTGAAAAAACAATAAGTCGATTTTTTCATTTTTTCCATCGTAACCTCGGTCACTAAATGAACTGTTGTAAGTCTAGGACTACCTGTGACTTACTCAATGGCAGTCTTCCTTGCATTCCTTTACTCATAATCCCATCCACCTTCTGTGCCTGCCAAGGCCTGCTCCATCCATCTCAAACAGATTCAGAGGATTCTTTGAGAGAAAGGTATCTTTTCAGGATACCGATGCAAATCTTTTCCTGAAATTCCTGAACTCTGAAAAACATGGGATTTATCTGGAATGGTATAGGGCAGGGGTCTGCAACCTGCGGCTCTAGAGCCACATTCGGCCCTCCTCTGCAGCTTCCTGTCGGCTGATCCCACCACTGGCTGGGCCCTCCCCTCCCCATCACTCCTCGCCTGGCCTGAGAAGGTAAGGGTGATGGTGGGGGATGGAAACTCACTCCATATTTCAGAGCAGAAGGTGACTGGGTGGAAGTGAGTGACATTGAGTTGGCCACGCCCACCCAGTCACACCGGTTGTTAAATTATTGGCTTCCAGTGTTTTCTTTTCTGTGGGAAATGGGTCCAAATGGCTCTTTGAATGTTTAAGGTTACAGAACCCTGGTATAGGATTTCCTATTGAGTTGGACCAGTTGACCTTCAAAGCACCTTCCAACTCTGTTATTTTGAAACTTCTTATGTGTCAGCAAAGGGTTTCATTTTAGACTATATAAAAGAAAGCAGCATCAGATCTAATATAGAGTAAATGCTAGGGGAGCAGGGTTAATGAAAATTTCCCAGCTTCCAATATTTCCTCAGGTATCTTAACTTTCCCTATACTGTTGAAAAAATAAAGGGGGAAAAACGGTATTAATCTGTTGTTATTCTTCTGTGAAATCCTCCTGGCAAAAATCTACCCATTAAATCAATTATGGTTTCATAAAAATTCAGCTCACTATTAGGACGTGGAGGACAAAACTGACATGAGAAAAAATAAAAAGAAACAGAACAGTATTTTTTTCTCTCCTGCCACACACAACATTTGATTGTTGTGCTCAGTTTTGCTCCTTCACAGGTATACCAAGTGTTCAAACTTTGCATGCGTAAACAAAAATAATATAACTCATTCAGACAATTTTCTAGTTATTTTTTTAAAATTAGTCTTTAAAAAATAAAAGGCTACAATAAATACAAAAACAGAGACACAGAAGGTGAGAAGAGACAGAACAAGAAAGAGGTTATTCCCTATCTAACCATGGCATGGTGTAATGTATACATTAAATTGAAAATGCATAGAGGTATCTTTCTTTATTGTATGCAGATATACATAGGCGATACTAAAGTTTGGAAACTAAAGGTTTTTATTGCTGGTAAATACACAGATACATTTATATTTTCTTTCCTATAATGTGGAAGTGATTTGTCACTGTTTTCTTCTAAGATGTGTCTTCAACTTTTGGGTTTAACCTGGAACGTTAGGATCTCCTAGCAGTCCAAATATT